CGATAATTAGACGGCAATAGTCGTGTCGTAAGAAAAGAAAGACTTGACAGATTTCGTGAATTTGGTCGGTGGACCACTAAAATATTAATCTAAAGTTAGAAAGGGTCACACAATCGCAAAGCTTCAACCAAAGTATCCGAAAGCGGTCGTAAAGTTATATTTAGTTAGGCTTTCGGAGTATTGGCTGTCGATTAAGGCTACCAATGAATTGATGGTATCTATTGGACGTTGACTACCAGTGAATACTTCGTAGATGAACGGTGACAGAGTGATATCACTCAATGGGTGAAGGTTCAAATTTAGGGATGGTTGATTTAATTGGAGTTCGAGACACCAATAACTGGTCGGTTAGAGAAAAAAAAGGCAGAACGACCGGAGAGTACTTGAACGAATTGGCACAACTTAGGTCTGGATACTGTAGCAGGTTGGCTCCTACCTAGCCAGAGTCGACCTCAGCATATACAACGTATGCCAGGAATGTGGAGAGTCTACACACGACACTCCACCTCGGCACATATCCGCTTAAGCTGACACATCTAACCCCCCTCTCTCTGGTCCAACCCCGTCGAACAGCACGTTTTCTGGACATCCCATTAGATGACCTCGGCTACTTAGTTTGATTAAACCTGTCCCTGAGTGGGACTAGTGAGCCGCTACAACTACAACAACAACACTACTTGAACGAATGATGTCATCATGTGATACAGGTAGTATGAGCGGAGGGTGACTGCCCAAAAGTGATGACTACAGCTAACTATATAGATCTATCTAATCTTCTGCGTGTCCACAGATGAACGGCGTGCTTATATGTACTCGTATAGTCCTACAGTATTTATGTCAAGGCTCATTGAGATGGTTCCCAAGGGCTAACGAACTGAAAGATGGATAGAGCCGGCAAAGGAAGCGCATAGGCAGGCATACAACCTTTCATTTGAATCATGTATGCAACCTTTGGCTCTCCAGTACATACAAACATATTTTCTCTACATCTCCGGCGAACAAACACAATTTCCCCGAAAAAGCGTTTCGGACTTTGGTATGCAAAAAATAGAATTTAAGTGCAATGACTGTTGATGTCAGCCACACAAACCTAGAAACTTCTTCTAAACTCAAATAAACATGCTTGCAATGTACAGGCACATACACAAACACACAGACACATACATGCATACAAACACACATGGCCTGCTGTCAAGCACCTCAATTGCGCTGGAAACGGGTCGAGTATTTGCCGAAAATGGCAAAAGGCCGAATAGAGCAGAGCAAAAGGCGCAAAGAAAAAGCAAAACAACCTGCCAAACACACACACACAAACGCAGACGCATACATAAGCCTACCTTTGAATAAGCATATGTCCATACATACATACACACATTCGTAGATACATTCGTCTAAATATATATATGGACTTGCTCCAACCATATATAGCCATTGCCACATCAACCAGTCAGCTAAAGAATTGCAGAACGTTGCAATTAGAGGCACGCGCCAAATGCAGCAGCAGCAGACCAACCAACTTGCAACAAACAACAGCAAGCAGATAATGAGACGCTGACTTCAATAAGTCCTGGTGGTGGATGGTATTTTCTTACATTCCACAAACGGTTTAGATAAATGAGCGATAATAGAGAGAAAGCGAGAGAGGGAGCGAGAGAGAGGGCGATTGATAGTGAGAGCATGGGTGAGCTTACGTCTCAGAGCGCCTTTGCTGAGTGCAAGTGAGCGCATAAGCAGCGTTGCATTTCGTCTTCCAGTGCATTTGTGTTGCAAACACCCACACATACACACACACAAGCACACACACGCTAGCGCATGAGAATGGGTGTTTATTATTTGCCGATTGCACTCAGATTGCTGGGTAATTCTCCGTTGTTGATAAGAAAGCCGGCGAAATGAAGTGCTAATTGCATCGCTTATGTCAGGTTGGTCAAATACAGCGGTAAGTAATAAAAATGTAAAAGGAAATGCATTATAATAAAATTAAGTACATCAATATAGACTGCCTAATGGAGGAAATAGAAATGTTTTATAATATAATATATTTGCTGATGATTTATTATTCTCCTTTATTGGCGTACGCGCCGCTAACTTGACTATAGGCGAGTCAACAATAATTTGCCAGTCATTTTGGCTTCCTACACTAGTTAGAGAAGGCAGGTTATTCTCCACTGAACATTTTCAATAGAATTGAGGGCTTCCTTCTCATCTGCTTCCATCGGCGGCGCTGTAGTCTTTTACTGCGTTCGAATAACATGCCTTAGCCAGCGTAGCAACTGTCAGTTAATGCGGTGAACCATGCCAATGTCTCCTGCTTATGGCGCATCGTACAATTTTCTATGGAATAAGCCGTCGTCCAAACGTGTGAGACCCTAAATCTTCCGCCGAAAATTTTCTCTCGAAAAGTTGTAGTGCAAACTCCTCACCATCGACATCTTCAAGGACTCTGCACCGTATAGCACAAAATGAATGATGAGCGACTTGACGTCTTTACTCGTCGAGGGACGAAGAAGCACAGAAATGATTCTGCGTTGGATTTCGAGGCTGACATTATTGGCTGGTTCAAGCGTAGAGACAATGAACTAAATGGGAGTCAATGGCAGTAGTTGCTTTCTCATGTCATCACTCTCTACAAGATGCATTCCCTTTGCTTTCTTCACCAGCAGTTCGATGAGGTGCCTCCGGAGCTCGGCTTGCAGTGGTACGAAGTAATGGCATAACGCCGTTAAAGTGGATCCTCTTAATGTGATATGGACTTTTTAAAGCTTATTTCCCTTACCTTTTCCAAGATTTGAAACCTGAGAGTTATCTAGTCAGTGATGTATTTGGCAGATATGACGTCACATTAGTAAAGTTCAAAAAGCTCCTTGGTAGATTTTAGTCTTTCACAAGATGGGAACTTATACATTATATTGAGCCGATTTTGGGGTTCGGCTTTTTGCCGATTGTGCAGAATACACATAACTTTGTAAAGCAGCTTATTTATTAGTCAATTTTTTTGAACAGCTTTACCAGCATACCATCATCGATTACTGTGGATTTTTTGTTCTTCAGGTGAGCAATTACTATTCGCAGCTCATAATAGTTGAGAGGTACTCATCCGTTGATAGAAATCCTCTTCCGATTTGTGGTCTACGTCTTTACTCCGGAACATTCCGGACATTCCGTGCCAAGGAGCGACTGCATTTAGAAGAAAAACAGTCTGACTTTTGGGCGTTGCTCTAACCACGATAACAACTCCTGACCCTCTGCGCTGTAGTACGTACTGCCAACTACCTGGAAACGTAATAAAATTCTTCTTCACTTTGCTCCAATAAAACAGTAGACAGACCGATATGATTTTTGCTTCTTCGATGTAAACTAAGAAGGATAGCGTTTTGCATGAAGCCAGGTAGGCTCAGAATGGCAACTTTGTCTGTCTCGCGTTTTTGGAGAAAATTTTTTTATCTTTTCGTAGGATGCATGAGCATGGGGATGGATGGGAATTCACACCGTTTTGTTGAGTTACGTTAGACTAGAAAACTTTATTTGGGCTTGTTAACTCGCCACTTTGGTGGTATCATTGATTAGACAGTGGAGATTCAAATCAGCATTCTTGGATGCGAAGTGAAGAACAGCGTAAAGAGGACTTTTATTTCGTTGTTGTGAATGGGCTTTGTAAGAAAGGTTCTTGATGAGGGCGTGAGTACCAATACGCTCCTACTGGCACAGGTGTTTTTGGGATCATCGAAGGGAGAGCCATCCATTGCTAACCGTCTAGTGGTATTGAGAAGCATCAGTCAACTGGTCCCAAAGCCTTTTAGCACGTCAGCGAGAAGGAAAAGTAATCTATTCCTCTTTTAAAACATCTAGAGGCTTAAAGAGATGAACTCGATGATAACGAGTATAGTGATCAACGAATATGTACTCGTATGTATATAAATATGTACATTCATTACATATTTGAGAATGTCTAGTCCAAAATTTGGCAGTGATTATACGCGTTACTCACATACATAAGTCCAAGCGAACAACCATTTGTATTATCGCTATTTGTTTACATTCGCAAATGTTTGGTACACACACTTTTTCTTCTTCTTCTTTTTCTTTTTATTCTTCGCTGTTGTTTATTGGTTGACTTGGAAATCAGCTGCGAGACGCCAACGAATCTAACAATAACAAAATACAGAAAAACTGGAATTTCTAGTAGTTCTGGTAGTTCTCTGCGTCAAGTAAAATCAAAACAATATTAAAGTGCTCTCAGCGCGCAGACAGAGAGAGAGAGAGAGAGAGAGAGCGCGAGCAAGTGAAGAAGTTTTTTTCTTTACATGCGACATGTATTTTTGAGATACTTTCCACAGCAAAGTGTTTGCTACTGGCAGCTACTTCGGCTCGCTGTTATGCCCGGGTGGGACGTTGGCTGGGTATTTGTAAGTGGGTGTGTACATGAGTGTGTTTAACTCTCAAAAAACGAAATTGTAGTGAATTTTGTTTATCTGCTTCATCTGCGCGCTCTCACGAGTAGGCTATGCATATGGCTGTATGGGTGTGTGTGTGAGTGTGCGCTAATATCATCGCTCGTTGCATTTCCGCTACCGCCTGCCATTGCCACCATTCGTTTACGTGTTTACGTAGTATGTGCATTCGCACTTCCCTTTCGGCACAGCAAATGACGACGATGTCAGCGACGACGTTTCTTGTAGTTTGCCTGTGCGTGCTCGCTCTCTTCGTGCGCTGCTATCTCCCAACAAGCAGCTACCAACTGGGAAAGCCAATCAGTTTGTCGTAGCTACTATTCCGGTGCGGTTTTAGTGTACGGACAAAATACGGCGCGTTTGTAAGCGTACGAATTCGACGCGTTAGCAAAGAAGCAAAAGCAAAAGCAAAATTCTGTTTGGTGTTTCCGTGCAATAAGTTAGATACAGTAATAAGTGAAGGAAATTTTCCAAAATAAAAATATTTTACAGCGCTTCGAAAGCTCAAATTTAATTTCCATTTTGTGCATGGAAAAAATATACCAAAAGCAGATAAAGAATTTTTTAAAAGTTATCTAAAATAAAAAGAAAAATATTTCATAAATTTTTGACCCAAAGGAAAACGAAAATTCCTTGTCTACGCTCTATGTAAACTGCGACGCGAAACTCGTTGGAAGTAGTCCCAATTGGGAAGATTCTTCAGCATTTTTTTAACTGTCAACAACTCGCTTCAACTCGCTTGGTGGGTATACTCGCGTATATTAAATGAAACAAATTCTTTTAATTCCTTGCGGATGCGACAGCAGCAGTAACGACGATGTCGACTATGAGCATGGCATTTTCACGTACAAGTCTATGTATGTATGTACATACATACATAGTTAACCAACGCGGCGCGACCTGACATATCGATTCGTAGTGCATAACGCGTTTATTTTTGTTTGCTTGTGGGTGTGTGCGCGTCTCTTCTTCCTTCCTCCTCTGCTTCTTCTACTTCATCTGTTTCTCCACTAAATATGAAAATTTATTTAGGAACAAAATATTTTCAACGGTAATGTGCACAGAGGTTGTGTGGAAAATTAGAAAACAACCCCAAAGTAATAGGAAGCAAGCACATGGATGAAGCGTTGGTTAAGCTGAAGATAAATAAAGAAATGAAAAAGCGAATGTTAGGTGAGAAGCACACAGTTTGGCGGGGAGACTCACTCTGGAGCTGTTTAAATATATAAGAGCATCACCAGCAGCTAAAAAAAAGGAATGAAAATAGAAGGAAGTATCTAGGCGATGCAAGCAAAGGCAGCAAACAAGCAGACAGACACTTGAGCGGACGGTAGCACAAACTGACGCACAAAAGGGCAGACTTACATACATACATAGATACAAATACATACCAACTAATGCATGGAGTTTTTTTGTTTTGCACCATAATTTGGATTAAAATTCTGCTTTTGTTTTCATTACACATTTTTCGTTTGTTTTTTTTTTTATTTTCTTCTGGTCATTTGTTGTCTTGTATCCTGCTGCTGAGTATTTTGCTCCTCTTTGCCTTTATCTCTTCTTTTTTTAATAACTTTGCAATAGAAATGTGTATATTCTTAGCACATACATACATACATACGAAGTAAGGTAAAAACAGAAAGGCATATTGTAGGCGTAGACCAGCACAGGAAGAGCGTTAAATTAGAAATAAGTACTTGAGGAGCGCAAAAAAAAGCATTTGGAAAGGGTAAAAGATGGTAGATAAAGGAAACAAAGCCAGAATTGGCAAGGTAAAATGAAGAAGAAAAATTTTAATGAATTTTTTTTTCTAAAAAAAGTAGTCCCGAAAACGAGATGCGCAACACAAAGCAAAATTTATTTTTTAATTTCTTAGTTATTATATTTTAATATCCGAAACTCGCGTAGACGTCTGAAATGTCTGTATTTACGCTTTTTCGTCGTTATTATTTGTGTTTACTTTCGTTGTCCTGTCTTTCCCCACCACAAATTGGTTAATTAAGTGGAAAATATGTATGCAAATGTTTCAAAATTGGCTGTGTGTTGAAAAAAACGAAAAAAATAAAAATAATGAAATGAAGCAAGCATATCCTTGTTGTCTGTTGCTTGGCGTAAAAATGAGGCAAAATGTTTTTATAATGATGCAAATGTATTGGAAAATTTTAATTGCTCATAAAAAAATGCAAATTTAATTGGCTTGAAATTTTGTGTGTGAAATTATTAAAAAAAGTAAACAAAATTTTAAATAAAACAAATTTAAAATGAAAATAATTTTTCATATATATATAAAAAAACAAATAAATTTTTTTTTAATAATATGCAATGAAAAAATTAAAAGCAAATATGTACCAAATAGTTAGAAGTACGCAGAGTAGCCAAAAAATTAAATATTTAAAAGCATTTTATATAAACATATTGCGTAAATAGCAACTTTGTGCTTATAAAAATGTGTGTTAATTTAATGGCAAGAAACGTTGAATAAATTTAATAAAAAAGTAAATAAAAATATAAAAACTAAATAACTAAATTAAAATACCTGTAGTGCCGGTTCAAAGTGCGTTAAAACTTAAAATAAAACAGCGAAATTTTAACTTTGAAACTTACTCATAAATAAGTGTATTTATTGCTAAAAAAAAACTACAAAAATTTTTAATAAAAAGCAATCAATAAGACATGCATTAATAGTAGCGTAAAATAATGTGCTTAATAAATTTATTAAAAAGAATTATTATCTGAAATAATAATCGATTTCGTTGAAAATTAAAAACATGCAAATGAAATTATGACTTGAAAAACTTTAAGAAAAAATTACGAAATTTAACGACTTGAACTTAATACGTCAATAAGTTGATAAATAAATAAATGTTTTTACAAAAAATACTATTTGATCAAGTAAAGAAAAAACAAAAGTTTGAAAATATATTTTATAGTAACAAAAATATATTTTATATTACCAATACAATATAAAAAAAAAAGATTTTAAAAGTCGAAAAAACTTATTTATAAAAGTTAAGCAAAAATTTATTATACACTAAAACTGAAACCAAATTAAAAAATCGGAAAAAACATGAATAATTTAAAACTTCGATAACAACTAGAATAAAATAAAAGTTTTAATAAAATTAAAATAATATAAATATGCTTGTTTCGGTCAAAAGAAATACCTGCACGTACGGAAATATTGAAAAAGCACATATTTGTATATTAAAATAATAATGAAAATTAATCAAAAGCTAGAATAAAAATGTCAAAAGGCAGCGTTTTTGTAACAAGAAACTGTTGAAAGTATTTTCTTTTTAAGAATAAATATTAAAAGTTAAAGCTCAATACAAAAATATGTGCCAAAAATGTTTGAATAAATTGAAAAATATGAAAAATGGTGAAAAATGGTGAAAAAATCGATTTAAAAAGTTCCAAACAAAGTAATGAAAAACCATAAAAAAAAAATTTTGAAAGTCAAATTAAAAAAAAAAAAAATCGAAAAAAGTTGAATTACTTAAAATTAAGTTCAATTATTCAAAAATGTTTAAATGCCAATTTACAGTTTTTGAAATCAATAACTATATAAGAAATAAATAAAAGAAAACTGCAAATAAACTTATAATACAATTTATATGCATAAAAATCTATCAAATATTAAAAAAATATATGGTAAATATTAAAAGCAAATAATCAAAAACCAAAAAAAAAAAAATAAGTTTCACAGATATAACTTTTTTTTTTTAATTTTTATAAGACTGCTGATGAAAATAAAATTTTTAAATACAGACTACAATATAATTTGATTTCAAAATAAAATTTAAATAAAAATAATTCAATTAAAACCTTAAAGAACCATGATAACTTGAATAAAATACCATGAAAAAACTCTTCAAGCTGAGTTTAAAAAAGTTATTTATTTGAAAGTACAACAAATGTGTGAAATTAAATCAACTTTATCGCGAATAAACTGAAAAGTGCGCTAAAATTTCAATAAAAAAAAAAACAATGTTGTACAATAACTCAAAGAAAATTTGCAAGAACATAATTTACGCTAATGGATTAATGCAAAAAAATGTTAATAATAAAAAAATCAAAAAAAGTCAAAGAAAAAGTATAAATAAATCACTACGAAAATCAGCGACTGCATTAAATCTCAATTAATTGCGAAAAAGTAAATAAATGAGCAAATAAATAAATGTGTACTAAATAATAAAAAAAATTCATATAAAAATGTATATAAAAGTGTGTGTATAAAAGTGCCCAACTACTAGTAATTAAACGCTAAATTTTAAATAAATAAATCACTACCAAACAAAGTGCCACTAATACATATGTATGCCAGTGATTAATTGGCATTAAATTGAAAATAATACAAGCATGCATATGTAAACATACATACATGTGTACAACTGTTCTATTAAATCAATGAAAATATTTATGTTAATTAAAGTGTGTGCACACAAAACATACATTTACATATATTATATATATATGTACAATATATAACTACAAGCCACGAAATGGCATTAGTAATCAATACTTGTTAATAAAGGCCGGCAAAATATTGTATGCGCATATATACATACATACATACACAGTTATTAGCAGCGACCAATTGGCGTTGGATATAAAATATTTCAAGCTCAACTTTAATTGCAAACACAAAGTCAAAGCGCCAGTTCATGGCGTTCATGGCGTTTGAAATTGAAATTGATCTGCAAAAAAAGGTTTGTCACACTCTTAATAATTTTTCTGCGGATAATCTATTAACTTATTGTTATTGTTTGCTTGTAAACAAATATAATTCAAGCTTAGTGTTTATATAATTTTTAATTTTTTATTCTTGAAATTACGGGGATAGTGGTTTTCTCAAGAGTTTTTATTTAATAAATACATTTTGTAAGTTTTCCTCTATTTCATAAGCAACAATCAATTCTTCAACATTTTTTTGCTGGAAAAATATTAAAAATTATAAAAAATTAAACAAATTAATTTTTATAATTTTTAATTATTATTTTTTTTGAGCTCACTATGTTCAATTATACCTAGTAGCACTTACTGGATTTCATTTCCCCCGTGAGTTAAATCAGGTTTTTATAGCATTATTTTAAATTCGAGTTTTATAAAAAAATGAATTAATACAAAAATAAATTTCCGGACATAAAATTATTTAACTCATAATCTGGCATAAATATGTTTTCCCCACTGTACATTTTGATTATGATATTTTATAAGATAGTTGACTATGGCGCCATCTAGTGAGATTTTCGTTACTATATTTTAGCTCTGTTGGATTGTGGTAGCTACCGATGAATCACATCGTTAACACCTAGGCTTGAATATGAGCCGTTGTTCTCCAAGCTTTTTGGTTTTCTGATGAACCTGGCAAATGATGATCTAGAAAAATGCTATAGAGATTTCAAATCCTGGCATTGCCGAAAGCAGGGCAGTCGACAATTATATGGTTGATCCTTTGATGCCTTTCATCTAACGAGCTTCTTCTACTGCGTAACGTCTTATCAGACACTCGGAACTCGAAAATGTACTCACTTTTTATTGACTTTATTTCCCGTGAGCTCTTTCTGTTGTCAAGTCTTAGTTTCATTTAACCGACTTGTGTTAGGGTAGATTCATTGAGAAGCAGCTTTAAAATGTGAAAAAGCTGAGTTCTGAAACAAGAATAAACTTTTGCATTATTTGCCTTAGAGATTTCCACTCTTCGATGTCCCGAATACCGCGGACCCATGGAAGAGATACCCTGTT